GCCGAAGGCTAGTGCCCTCAACTTGCATTTTTCTAAAGCCAAGGTATTTGGCTAGCCTTAACCTTGAGGACAGCCAGCCGGAGGCTAGTGCCCTCAACTTGATTTTTCTAAAGCCAAGGAACGGAAGGGTTCCGGTAGCCTTAACCTTGCAAGGAAACAGCACCATGATCTCTCTCTTTTCTGGCTGTCCTCTTGTGTGTGTGTGTGTGTGTGTGTGTGTCGCGTACATATGGTGCAGTTTCCCTTTCAAGGTTAAGGCTACCAGTACATATGGTGCAATTTCCTTTGAAAGGTTAAGGCTACCGGTACCGGCAGCGTACATGTAGTGAGATTTTGGCTATCAAAGCGAACACGTACATATGGTGTGGTTTCCCTAGTAAGATTAAAGCTATCAAAGCGACTGATTAGCCTTGGCTTTAAGCAACATACAATAAAAAATGAAACCTTTGCCTTTAGATAAATGCTAGTTGAGGGCACTAGCCTGCGGCTGTTTGTTCTTCATGGAAGAACCCACTTGAACAACCTGCAATTGAATGTTGGTTGTTCGTTGGTTTGTCTAACGTCTAATAATAGCTATGATAGTAACATGAAAGTTTTTGGTTATTATGTGCTTTTAGAGAGCCTCATTGAACCCAAATAGAAAAGAGAGAGTCCAACCCAACCCCACTTGGAGAGCAAGACAATCTCCAACAACAATGACATGGCACAGATCGTAACCCCAAAAGCAAAGAGGGGAACTTGAATAAAGATGCTGTGACGATCCATCCAGTCAATTAAGAGAAATCCAATGCGAACAAACCAGGGGTATCCACTGGACAAGTTTTCGTCGCCACAAGCTTCAGGAAGCCCCATGCAGAGCAACCGGATGGGACTTAGAAGCATGTGAGCCACAGAATGCTGAGAAAGACCTGTCTTCGTACCACTAGCAAGCTTGAATGATCCGCTATCACCCCCCTGGAGCGATACATAGCATGAGATTGCCACTCCATTCACGGCCAGAGTACCGGAAGCTGTGAGGGGCGCAAATAGGCCTTCACGATGGACGCTTCCAATCTTGGTAACACGAATCCTTTCGTCTCCGGTGCCTGTACCACTCAACATATCTCCGACGTGGACCGATTGGGCAGGGACATATTGATATCCCCCATCGTTACTGACTTTGAGAAGCAAGTGTTCACCTGTTACTTCCAACGGAGGAGCACCGTTGCTGACTTGATCGGACAAGATTGGAGTGGTGTGAATTGCCAAAAACTCTGTACTTGTGTTCAAGTCCAAATGAGCAAAGGCATAGACAGGCTCAAATCTTCCCTTGCCATTGGCCACCATGTCTCCAATGGAAAGATCCTGCATTCTTGTGGGACCTTTTCCCTGAACAGTTACAATGTCATGTCCTGAAAGGCAATTGGGAGGATTTGGAGAAGACGAATCACCATTACCTTCAGAATCCCCATCACTGCCGCCAGAAGAACCGCCGCCGCCTGTAGGAGGAGCAGGCACGGGTGATCCAGTAACTGGGGCAGGTGTGACGGGAGCAGGGGTAACTGGGGCAGGAGTCACGGGGGCAGGGCCTCCAGAACCGCTGTTCCCAACGCAGTTGGAGCCATCAACAGCCCTGTAGGTAGCATAACCACTGCCAGCGGCAATGCCCGCATCACCAAGCAACTCAACAAATGCCAACTGGGCCATATCAAAGTGAAGCTCGCCAGCGGGGCCTGCGCCGCACTGGTCGATAGCGGTCACATAGACTGTATTACCACCAGCCTGCAACTCGTAGCAGTTACCACAGTTTGGTGAGTTCCAAACAATGTTGGACGTTGCTGAAACATACGGGAACATTGGATCAATTGTGTAGTATCCAAACTGCTGTTGCAACCCGTTGGCTCCATCGGAACAGGAAATGGTGCCGGTCGACTGTCCTTCGTAATAGTTGTGATAAGTGATGTAAGCAGTCTGGGCATTGGCAACCAAAGGGCTCGTTATCAGCAAGATAGCAAGTCCCGAGCTGAAGCAGTGGGCAAACATCATGATAGCTAGCTGGTGTTTCTTTTCGAACGGATCTCTGGCCTGGAAGCTTGTCTCTGTCAAACACTGAATTTACTTTAGCACTCTCACTTTTGCTGCGTTTGATAAATTTGTGAGCTTGATGACAGATTGCTCTGCCAAATGTGCAGTTGGGAGACGAAGTGTTGCATGTAACGTAGCGATACCAGTAGAAGATCTACTCTAGCTGGGGCGTCTTTTGTCTTCCTCAACAAGTCGAGTGACCGGTGGACTTGCCTAGTCATGTACCAGTAGAGCGATCTCCATCGTGCGATTGGTGGGCAAAGTGGCCAAAACCGAAGGAAAAGTGATGGTGTGATCTTGCATCTTAACTCATTTCTTTTGGCACGGAATACCGTCATCCTATGCTCCTACAGTACTCCTGGTACCGTAAAAGTACCGGTTTTTGGTGAACACATCGAACATGAGGCATAATGACCGTGCTATCTTGCCGCGTCTTGCTTGCCCCTCTCTCCCCCTCCCCGGCTCTCAGTTGAACACATCGAACAGGTGAGGGCATGCCCGGGTAATGACCATGCCTGTCTTGCCACGTCTTGTGCCTCTCCCTCTCTACTGATGAAGGTAGAATTCTAGATGCGGCCAGTAAATATTACCTGATCCAGGTAGTTCTGAGGGATTCGATTCGATTCGATTCGAGTTTTATGATGCATACATCTATCTCGAGATCTCGAGGGAATTGCTCTTGCATTTTGCATGTTGCCTGTTGCAAGCAACTCTGGCGTTGCTAGCTAGCCAGCTCGCATGGCCAGTTGGACTTAATGGCAGGAATAGAAGCTGCAGTGCCGTGTGCTTGGAGCGAGCGCTGATGGCCTTCGAACCAATTGGCTCCTTGCTCTCTAACACAACGGTTTCAGCTTTCAGCTTCACACAACAATGATTAGTAGTTGTTATGTCTAAAACTATTGCACCAGTGGCTTTGCTGTTGATTCACTCCCTTGACACTCACTTGGCCCTATTGGCTCAAGTGAGGGAGTAGAATGAGACAAACATGCTGGTGCAGAGGGCAGGAGTCCCACTAAAGGGGGTACAGCATGTCACAAACATGCTCTAACAAAATGGATTCCAGGAGGAGCAGGCAGTGTTTCCACCGGACGACGTCCCTCCACTGGACGAGCAGTGCTTAATTTTGGTGAGTTCACCATCAATCACCGTTTCGCTGACCTCTGTGTCGCAGTCCTTGCCGTCGATCTGGCGGTTGGTGCACCACGAGGCCGAACCCAGGGCGGCAAGAGTCTCGCACTCCCCGTTCCGGACGAGCTTCTTCCAATCGTCAGGCTTGTCGGTCGAAAAGTCAAAGGTTAGCTGGTCGGGGGTGAACTCTGTTACGCTGGATCCGTCGGGCTGGTTGATGCAAAAGTCAAGTCCGGTTCTAAGCACCCATGTGTATCCCACAACCTTCGCCTTCTTGCAGGGCAGCAAAGGGCACAACGTCCAGTAGTCTTTTGTCACTTCTACTTTGACATATGGGTTCCACCTGCAGGTTTCAGCGTCGGAAAAGGAAGGGAGAAAGACGACAAGTAGGATTGCGAGCCAGGAAGAGACAATGGTGGCAACGATGGACATGATGATGTGATTGTGCTGTGATGGATAGTTGAGCTTTGGTTTTGGTTTTGGTTTGAAGTTGTGAGCTGATGGGAAATATGAGCCTGGATTGAACTGATCAAAATCAGCACTGGTTATTAGTGCATCTTGCTTGCATGAACTGCTACTACATGTAGTACTAGTACGGTACTAGCATAGCTAGACAAGCTAGCTACGGCACTACAGTAGTCTGATCTATCGCTCGGAATGCATGCAATGCAGACGCTGCCAATAGAAGACATGACGGAGCTCTCGTGGAGGGGTGGGTAAACTGCTCCTACGTACCGGTACGGTACTACATTTCTGCAACAGTAGTTGCACAGGGTCAGTATGTGCTTCACACTACTACTTAGTGGATCTTACATACTCTCAGGATCCAGCACAGTATGCTACGTAGAAAGTCTATGGTATCAGTAGTCATTGAAACAAAGATCCTCTCAATAAGACTCTCACTATTAAATAAACTGCAACAGCCAAGATATAACAGGGGCGCCTGTATACATAAGACCAATCCACATACTGAGAGGATTCCAATAATCGCTTAAGTGTGCCAGAACATACCTACTCCATTCCCACGAATCCAATGACATCCAATGGATCGTTCCGATCCAACCGTTGCAGAAAGATAAAAGATACTCTGAAGCAGCCAGCGTACGATTGGTACGTTCGAGTATACTCAAGTAAGAGGCAAACAACGCAGAAATCCCGTGACCGATCGGTAGCTACCAGTAGCCTCTGGCTCAGTTTTCCTCACTTTCAGCTCATTATTTTCAATCCTTCTACTCTGTAAAGGAAACTCTGCCGAAATTCCAGCTCAACCAACAATTGCTTAGTTGACCAAAGAATTGCTCCACCATGGCCAATGCTGGAGCAGCCTTTGGGTTGGAAGACGTGCCGGATTTGCTGAAGCACCCACGGAACAGCCAAGTACAACCGGGATTACCATGACTCTTCGTCAAATTCATGAGCTGGCTGCACAAGAGGACTACACCAAGGCGGCTCGCTTCAAACCTAGTGCTTTGGCCGGCATCCAACCACACCCGTTGCACTACTTGAAATGGCGTGCGTATGTACGACGAGTTGACTTCAAAAGACTCGAGCAGAATCCAACTTGCGCTCCTCTACTCTTGAGCAAGACAAGAAGGCTATTTCCTTTTACATGCCCATCAAAGTGCCACATGGAATGGAACTCCGGCAATCCAACCAAGTCCGATCTGTGAACGAAGTGGTCAAGGAAGTCAAGAAGGCGGAGACTCAACACCGCGGAAGAAGTCCTGTGCCACAGGGATTTGACGGAAACTGAGTATCGCAAGGTGGTCCTGAACTCTACGGCAAAGGGGCTTTGAATCGACCATCCGTACAGCCTGCATGTTGAGCAGCAAGTCCATCTCATCACCAGGACGACGACATCTCCAAGTTGAAGTATTCCGACTACAAGCCCATCCAGACTTCCCTTTTGCGCTCAGTTGCAAGGTGCTTTGGTCCAAGAATATTTCGAAGAACGACAATGCCCTGACAAATCATTCTTGGGTCGATGATACCGACTTTTGTGCTATGCTCGGATTGGCGAATTACATGAGGCGTCCTTCAACTACGGGTATGGCGCCGCTGGTCGGGAAAATGCATTCCTCTTTACTCCCGAAAGCGATCTAAGTTGGCTCCCAAGCACTGCAACGCACCTACCGCAACATTCTAAGCTGTCTTTTTGTCGGCTCATTTCTGGCTGTGGCGCTCCTCATTGCTGGTGTTCTTGGGAGTCACAGATTCGGAAGTTTGCTGCAATTCTGGCAAGAGGGATGGGTGCTACTGTGACGAAGTTGACATTCGAGGTCGTGGAAGGCTCGCTTGTCTGGACGGTTGTTGATGCCTACATTTCGCCTGAACAGCCCTGGACGACGCTCGTGTTGCCGAAAGCTTTGCATGGGGGCTCCTATTGCTACAAGCTACACCCGGATGCCAAGAGAGTGACTCCCGACTGTTTGATTGAGCATGTGGTGCCAAGGAGCATGCGTTTTACGACGGTGTCAACGACATTTCCTTCACTGGCTCTGCCTCTTTGTGTGGCTGCTCTTGACGAATCTTGGAGGAGAGGATGGAGCCTCCGGTTCGTGTTAGGATCCAAATGCGTACGAGCGCATCAAGGCCGTATGTTCCTGTTGGCGTCAACCTGTGGGAAAGTGCCTCTCTCTATTTGGACACACAACACCAAGCTCCACATCAACGAAATCGAGCGATGGATACGGGAGGCGGCGGTGCACGGCTGGTGGCACTACGGGAACGACCGCCAGGCAAGCACTCGTCAGGTTGCCAATCAGTCTCGGCAGGTGACGGCTATGCAAACGCACAGCAGGTACGAACGAACGAGGAGATTCTGACAAGATTATTGCGCAGCACAACAGCTCCAGCAGCTCATTGGCGCAGGAAGGTAGGACCCGCGACAGTTCGGCTGCTGCTTTGAGAGGTTGTTGGAGACTTGGCTTGGTGCGGAGCTGACGAAACTGAATGGAAATATTTGCAGGTAAGTGTGGACTGTGGCTGTTGGCTATTGCAACCATGGCTATTATGCTGTAACTTTATTTTTGTTTCTTTTAGGATTGCTGTTCAGCTCCAAGGATGGCAACACCTGATCAGGTAGATGGTAATCTTTTTAGAAATGGGTTGACTGTGGAAAGGACTCCCGGAATGGCCAGACTAGCCTCAGGTACAGACAAGCTGTGGCCACCACCCTGCTGATAGTAGGCCTGCAAGCTAGCCAAGTACAGACTGTTGGCTCTGCTTGGCAGAGTGGATGCATGGTATTGGTGGCAACAAGCCAGCCAAGAACTTCACTGCTGATGATATCAGGGCTTGCAAGTCAACCTACTCCAGGAGGAAGCCACTCTGGACTCTCATGGCTACACTTGTCAATGCTCAGAAAGTGCCAGCTTGGGTCATCTCCAAGATTGAGGAGCATTACAAAGGAAGTGTTTTGAATATTACTGCTGCCATCAAGCAGGACACCATTATGGGCAGTCTGCATGAGGATCTTTGTATTGTTCGTGCTCAGTAAAGTTGACCTTAGTTTGATAAGCATGCTAGCCATGCCTTATAGTGAGTTTGTTACATGGACTTGATCTTTTTCGTTTTCGTGGACTTGTGCTTTTTCCTGGACTTGTGCTTTTTCGAACGTTTCGAACGTACTGGCTACTACCGGTAGTAGCTACTAGCTAGCTAGCTTTCGAGGACTTGGCCTTTTCGAAAACGTACTCAACCAAAGAGGTGCTTTTCGTTATCTTAACAGTGAGTAGTAGAGGTGCGAGCCTCATTTTTCTTACAGTCGAGGACGTGACCTTCACTAGCTAGGTCGTCACTGGTATAGAGGAAGGATCGACCTTGCATACCTCGATCGATAGGATGGATACCTCCTGTAGGATGGCTACCACAGGTACAGGCTCTCAGTATTTCTCTCAGTTCTGGGATATACTTTTACGGTACGACTGTACCTGTGTGGTAGCGGCACTGAACGATCTATGCCTACCCCCACCGGTACCAGAATTCTGTACCCCAACCCCTAGTAGACTACCAGTACTAGTACCGGTACCCGCATGCCGCATGCCGCATGACACGCAGACGCTGCCAGAAGATTCGATTCACACTGACTCTCCGCCGGTCACAATGTCACAATGCCTCCTCAATGGGCTCTCCACTCTCCAACCTCTCCAACAGTACATTGTGTACTCACCAATGATGTCTTCATCTTCTGCCAGCGTCTGCGTTACATGCAGGTTCGGAGTTCCGAGCACTATGGTTTCCATCTTGTTACCCCTAATTGTACTACTCGTAGCCCCCCATTTTCTTCCACAGTCCACTCCGCACATGTAGCCAGAAACCATGAACAAGCACCTCATTCGACGTGTTGTAGCATTGGCTGCTCCTGATGGTGGAAAGACTGGCAAGATTCGAGTCTTTGAGTCTCAAAGAAGACTGCTCTCAAAGCATTCTCCTAACACCGAGAACTCAGCTTCGCACACCTCCTTTGCACTGCCAAAGCCAACATGGTCTGTCAAAGATTTGGAATTGACGAAGCAGCATCTTCCTATTTCAAATAAAGAGCTCGAGAAGCTTGCCAAAAGAGCACTTCTTGATCTGGATCAACTTGATGCAAAAACAAGGGAAGAGCTTCGACAGGATCTGGGCAATATGATGCACATGATAGAACAGATACAGTCCTTGCAGCTCGACGAAAACGTTGCTTTGTCCGAAGAGGACATTTACGACAGACCACGAGGAGTTACTTCAGCACCCCTGAGAGATGCCAATGAAAGAGAAGACACACTAGAAACAACCAACAATCTTTGGGCATCCTTCCTACAGCCAAAGACCACAAAGTTTGGTGCTCATGATTATTTCAGCATAGAGACAAAGCGGGAGAATCCAAAGTCCGAATGGTACATAAATAAATGTGACTCCAGCAGCAATGTGGCTTTGATGGTGTCCTGAAGATCGTTTTGGGTTTCGAGTAGCTACCGGTAGCTTTTACTGTAGTGGCCAAGCAAATTTTCCCGCAGCCAACACAGTCACTGGTGCTCAGTCTTAAGAGTTCCAGCCTTTCGCACGTGGTATCCCCAGCTCTGACTCTGAGTTTTGTTTGCAGTAGAAGATGAATCATTATGGGCTCTAGAATGGTGGTTTTCTCTGATCCTGACAGCCCCTGGCCCCAGTGATCATTGTTTGGCTTCGAGATGGTGCTGGAGCATCCCAGTTTTGGTCTCCAAAAAGAAAAAGTACGCCATCAGGAAAAGCCTACTTCGTTTGCTGCTGATTCCTGCTTGAAAAAAGTACACGCAGCCATTACAGTATGGTACTACAGTACGATACTAAATTCAAAGATGAACGGGGCGTCTCATCTACTGACTCTTACAAAGATTTGCTCGTGCTACTTGAGAAGTTTCTCAATTGGCTGCTGTGTGGAGTAGGTGTTGTCTTGGTCAGTTTCATTGGCAAACACATCCCAAATGGCTGATGGATTGGTCTCCAGTTGGCCCTGCGAAAGAATTTGAAGTGTAAAACACACCACTTTTGTACATGGTATTTCCCTCGTCAGTCAGAGCACCTATGCATTGTTGCTTTGCACCAGTTTCCAGATCATGATGGACCTCTAGCTAGAGCTAGTGTCGTTGCTGCCAGATTCCTCGATTCGCAGTCTCATGCACAAATCACTGGCCTGCAGGAAGGAAGGAAGGAGAATTGTGAGCAGACGGTTGCCACCGACTATGGCTCTTTGGAGATTACGTTGGGAACAACGACCTCCGTAGATAACTTTCCCACTCTAGCTAGCTAGTAAACCCCCTTGCAAACGAGTAGGAACTGCCGCCGGTATTTGCTACCGGTACCGTATCTCGCTCATGCTCGTCTAAAGATTCAGCGGTACGATTTGAAGTGACAAGGGAGCCTGGGTTTGATTTTGACAGCTTAGCTAGCTACTCTCCAGTACCCAGTCATGTCCGGCCTACGTAAATAGTACACGTACTTCTACATAGAAGGCCATTCCAGAGTGCCAGCAGCAGTGATATCTTCCCACACTTCCAATAAATAATACAATGTCAATGGTTAGCGAAAGCTAGTGCGTACTGGTACACGGTGCAAATAGTACTTATGGACAAGATATTGATAACTCCAGCTTGCTTATCATCCCTGTTTGCTGTCTGTAATTGTTGTACAGAAGTTGATTTATTGAACAAAAACCAGAATTAAGAATGATGTTTCCTTTTCTGATGTCGCTTCGTCAAACAGAAGCTATCCTTTAATTAAATAAATACTTGAATCTATTCCCATTTTGAGGTCCACGTAATGACTCCATTAATCTCGATCTCTTCAATCCACCATGATCCATGCATATTACTAGTATCTTTTGTTCTTGTTGCGCCAACAGCTGTTGCAACTGACACTCCCCTTTCTGTTTCCCTGGTTTTTGGTTGCAGTGTTGGATCCATTCTTTGCTTCTTTGGCAAGATTTCCCGCCTTGGAGTTACAGCGTACTACTACTAGCTATAGTAAGCCAAGTCTATTGCATTGTTGTTGTTGTTGAATATCTATTGCTGTTATTGAGAGAGAGAGAGAGAGAGAGAGAGAGAGAGAGAGAGAGAGAGAGAGAGAGAGAGAGAGATGGGTAACGAAAAGGATGATGACAAGCCACCGGAGAAAGCCCTCGATGAGGGAGTGGTAGCTGCTGGAGTCCCTGTGCCTCGAATGAGCAATGAACTGGCAGCAGCCGATGCGGCTGTGAGGGCCAAAGCACCCGTCGTCGATGTGTCTACTTTGAAACCATTGGAGCCAGCGACGCCTGTCACGGATGTTGGAGTTGGAGTCGGCTTATCCTCTACGGAGACGGTTACCAGTGCGACGCAAACCATGACGTCCAACACCACGGAATCCATTCTTGCCGTGGAGGATCCAGAAAAGCGCCAAGAACAGCCAGGAGGCGCAACTGGGCCAGGAGCGGCTACCTTGGGCATGCCGGCCTTGTCTAGGGGTAACTACCAACAACCTACAGCCACTCCAGGAGCCTTTGGTGTCTCGGGTGTGAATGGTCCAGTGGTTGCTGCCGAGGAGAGTTCGTCCGAGGAAGACGATGATGAAGAGACAGCAGCGGCTCCCAACAATGATGGATTGGCCGTAGCGGCACCGGTCACGGATGAAGCTCGTCGTGATATTGAAAACGCCCGTCTTGTCATGCCGAACGCAGCTCAAGAGGCGAAACGCAAACAGAAAAATTTCTTGATGACCATTGGAGTACTGTGTGCCATTGCCATTGTTGTGTTTATTATCATCTTTTTCGTGGTGCAGGGAGATAAAAATGATGGTACTAGCGAGGAAACCTCTGCGCCTGCTGTGACATATAATGCTACGTCCGCCCCATTGGAACCTACCGAACTCTTAAAGTCGTTGCTCCCTGACCACACTCTTCCCAAGCTCGTGTCCGAGGCGACGCCACAGTCCAGGGCATTCAAATGGCTCATTGAAGATCCAAACTTTACCAACTACACCAACAAGCGATTGCAGCAGCGTTTTGCCCTTGCCACATTCTACTACAGCTCCGATGGAGAAGCCTGGGGCCCCGACTGGCTCAACATTACCCAACACGAGTGCATGTGGGCAGACTTTATGCCAGGAGGAAAAGAGTACGATAGAGGCCAGGAATATCGACATTATGAGTACAAGTACATTGATGGTCCCTGTTTTCCGATTGGATACAACAGCACGGCGCTGGTGAATGCGACAGAGTACCCGAGCGACTTTCCAGATGATTACCTCTACTTGGCCATGACGGGACAAGAATTGGGTGGTGAGCTCCCAGCGGAAGTATCCATGTTGTCATCCCTCAAGCTGGTGCAGTTCGACTATACTACCATGATCGGAACTGTCCCCACGATTCTGGCAAATCTGACGGGTCTACGCGAACTACATCTCTTTGGGAGTGCCTTTTCAGGAGCCGTTCCATCCGAGTTGGCCAGGTTGACAGACTTGCGAATTCTCGTCATGGGTGGATCGGAATATCTCACCGGGACGTTGCCCTCAGAACTTGGACTGCTTTCGAACAATCGTATCTTAAAAATTGCCGAAAGCAATGTCACAGGAACTGTCCCACTGGAGTACACGGGCCTTACTCCGCTCATGTTCCAGCTTTATCGAAATAACCTATTTGGAACCATTCACACGGAATTTGGTTTGTTCTCCACAGTCGAGTGGTTCATGCTGGAACGGAATGAATTGGTACGTACAAAAAACTTGGAAAGAAAAAACTTGTTGACTTGGCCCATTGCCATCGAGGTTAATCCACTCAGGTACTCTTGACGTTTTAAAATCTCACTCGGCATTCTCAATTCATTGTTGGGTGCTACAGGTAGGGACGATTCCGTCGGAGCTTGGAATGATGTCCAAGCTGGACCTCATGTACTTGCACGAGAACCACGTTTTGTCTGGCACAATCCCGACCGAGTTGGGCTTGATCTCAAACTACAGGTTGCAATTTTATCTGCATACAAATGCATTGACTGGAACGTGAGTAGACTCAGCGAGCCAAACAGTATCATCAAAGCAAGGGCCAAACAGTGCCCCTTTACGAAATGATTGCTAACCGGCGCAAAACTTACTTTATCTCAGAATCCCAACGGAATTTGGTCAAGCCACTGACGATTTCTGGAGGCTCCGTCTTGATTGGAACCAGCTCGTAAGCAAGCGTCTTCAACAGTAGTATTCATACTGTTCCACTCTCTGTTGATTGATTCCTGGTTCACCAATCTCATACTATTTTCTGTTTTGTACATGACTCAGACTGGAAAAATCCCTAGCGAACTGGCCTTAACCACATCAATGCACGTTTTGTCGTTGCAAGACAACTTGCTAACCGGTACGATTCCAACCGTGGTTGCGGCGCAGTTCAGACTGCAGTATTTCCGAGTACAGCTCAACCACTTGAGTGGAATTATCCCCTCTGAGTTTACTGTTGGCGCTAGAAAAACCAAGTTTATTCAGTTCCACATTGATAACAATGACTTTTCCGGTACCATACCAACGGAGATTCGAAACTGGACGCACTTGGTACACTTCTCGGCTCACAACAACCGTTTGACAGGAGTCATCCCATCACAGCTTGGAGTTTTAACCAAGCTCCAATCTTTCTATGTTGATTCCAACCTGCTGACCGGAGAGCTCCCGCCTCACCTTGGAAATATTACAACCCTCAAAGAGTTTTCTGTCGGGGACAACCAATTGACTGGGACAGTTCCTGAGGAGCTGGGCTGGCTAGTGAATGATGGGGCATTGAAGCTTTTGAACTTGACCCACAATGACGGTCTGTATGGAGATATCCCTGCACCCATCTGCAATCTGACTGATGACCCGGCTTTGGGTAATGTTTTGGAGTTTGATTGTGGAAATCTTTGTGGCTGTGATTGTGACTGTGACAATGTGTCAGCTTTTGTTCTGATCGGCGAGAATGGCACTGTCTTGGCAGAATCAAACTTGGCAGCATCGAATGAAACTGTCTTGGCTGAATCAAAGAGCGGAGGTTTGTAGGGACTGGAAAGAACGGTTGATGTTGATGAGTTTCCATTTCCCCCTCTCAAATGTGGAGTATCCATTGCTTGTGTTTGTGTGCATACCGTAGTGAGTGTTGGAGGGGTGTGGGTACGGTAGGACTTACGTAATGAATTTGCATGAAATGATCAATTCCACGTCTTTGCCGTAGAGATGTGTGGAAAGATATTCTGTGGCTGCTGCTTACAGCAAACAGCGGAGACCTTTCTTCAGTTGCGACCTTGCCATGTCAGATAACGGTTCATGGCTATCGCTAGCAAGCAAAGAGTTTACCCAAGTCCACTCGATCCAGAGACTGTCACTCGACGCCTTGAAAATGGCGGCAGTATCCTTGGCGTGAATACACCGATGCTTCTTCGCTGTGCAGCACATCAACGGCATCCATCAGATAGACTGCAACTATGGTCCCAAGGACACCCGCACCTGCTGTTCCGGTGCGTTGACTGGTGGCAGAACAGAACAGAGCAGTGGAGGCGAGGACATGGAATGCTAGACTCAATCTTGAGTTCCTGGGCAAATCGCTGTGGGAGTTCGATCGAACTGGGTTCCAAGAACGAATTCTCTATGGTTTTGTTGCTACGAACGTCCCGGTTGCCGTGGCCCTTTAATTGTGCCGAATGTTGATGACACATTCATTCCATACTACCGTTAGTAGAGATAGCTACATATCAGACACTCGTGGATGTACCGTACCGCGCAGAGTCGAGTCAACCAGTTCGTTGGTCAAGTAAGTTTCCAAAAAGGCACTCATGCAGCCTTTTTAGCTAGACTAATCCCCAAAGACGACGCATTTATTGTTGTAAACAATGACCCGGTCGTCAAGATGTGCTTGCAAGGCTCTGGCGAGCACATTTCGTTCCAGTATTCTTCCCTTTTGTATCAATCCATCGACTCCGTCTCGATGCGTCACACTAATCACATCCTTGGTTGGTTGGTTGGTTGGGACAGGATAGTGAGAAAAGGGCCCAACAAAACGAAACAACAGAAAACACAACAACTTGACTTACTTGTTCAATAATGGGTCCTTCGTCCAAATCTGCCGTAGCATAATGTGCCGTGGCTCCAATGAGTTTGACGCCCCGTTCAAACGCGGCATGATGAGGTCTACTTCCCTGAAACGCCGGTAAAAAGGAATGATGTATATTGATGATGGAATTGGGAAATGCTTGCAAAAAGTGTTGCGTGAAAATTTGCATGTACCGTGCCAACACCACGACATTGGCTTGGAGGACGTCCTTTAGTAGTTGAATTTCGTGTCGTTCTTGTTCGCGTTTGTTTTGCTTGGTAATGGGAAAGAGATGGTACGGAATTCCAAACGTCTCGGCGACGGGTCGCAGATTGTCGTGATTGGAAAGAATGCCGACAATGTCACAGTCGAGTTCGTCTGCTTCGTGCCTTAGTAGCAATTCCCAGAGACAGTGATCGTATTTGGAGACCATAATGGCCACCTTGGCTCGCTCTTGGCGCCAATTCAGTTGGAACGCCAAGTCTCGGTCTCTACACAGCTGTTGCAAGGCTTGTTCTGTCGCATCGGCCGTCTCCACGGCATTCTGGCATCGATCCAACAGGCCACCACTACTGGCAATTTGAGGTTCCTTGTCAAAAGCAATGCGGAGGAAAATCAGGTTTTCAATCCGATCCGTCCAATGCTCACTTCCGACAATTTCATAGCCTTTGCGGTCCAAGAGATTGCAACAGGCCGCCACGATGCCCTTGCCATCCGGCCCATGGACCTTGAGTGTCGCCAGGTTAGTCAGAGACTTGAAACGGGGCAGTGAACGGCGAAACATCTTCTATCTATCGATACATGCAGAGGATAGAGCACCCAAAACTGACAACGCTAGGCTACTAGAGAAAGAGGAAAGACTTGGACCTTGACGGTGCCTTTGCCATGCATCAATGCCATCAACTTGGAATTGTGCTGGATCTGAGATGTGCTGATTATCTCTAACCTTAATTGGTGAGAAGGTCAAAAAACACGTCACAACTTTTTTCCAAGAGGGAAAACCTCATCAGTTAGGTTGTTCGTCTCAATGACACAGAGCAGTGGAGGCGCCAGTGGCAACACTTCATCAGCCAACACTACACTGAGTGAGTGAGCGAGTGAGCGAAAACCATGCTCCATTATTAGTTCATTGTCACAGGACAATGAAGTCACTCCTAATTGGTACACTATGGGTGTTGGCTACTGCGACGAGTTGTGTGGCTCTGCTCGGAGTCTCCACCCTGATGCCAACAGGTCGGATTGCATGTCCAAGACATCATTGTACCGGTAGATTGGGACGTGGGTATGCCGACCATCGCGACAGTGTGATCTTGTTCATGGGAAAGGGAGATGGCAAGAAACGAAAAAAGAAGAAAGCGGCTACCACTAGTGGTAGTACATCACCACCAAGTGTCGACAGCAACAACAACACTCCCCAACCCCTCAGAGTCAGCACAGATATCAACATTCCCGTCAAACATCAAATACGAATGGCACAAATCAATAAACAATATGCCAAACAAAGGGCCAATCCGAGTTTTCGCAAGAAAAAAGTGGTGCGCACCAGTTATCGAAGAACGTGGGGTAAGTGGGAGTGGAGAGGAAAAGCTTTTTTGCTGGACTGTATGTTTTGTCCATGCTTGAACGATTCGATTCGATTCCACTCATATGGTTTCTTCTAAATAACAAATATTTCAATATAGATGAGGAAGAAATTGAACAAAAGAAAGAGGAACGAAAGAAGCGTGGACAAGACATCAATTGGGATGTTGTTCTCAACCAGACCAAGGCAGCTCCTCTGGTGGTGAGTTTGTGTTTTTGATTGATATCCCTACATCATTGACTCTTACACCATTCTCACCACCTTGATTTTGTGTATGATCTGTCAATGGTTGAGTAGATAGTGGACGGGTACAACATTATCTACAAATGGCCTCGCCTCAAAAAGCACATGACAAAGGGAGATCCACAGAGGGCGAGAGAGTTGCTGGTCGATGATTTGGAAAACTTGAGTTCCATCAAGGGATGGAGGATCGAAGTGGTATTCGATGGAACTCGAAAGTCCAATATAGGACCCTTGGGCCATGGCGCAACGGGAAGCAAAACCAAAGTCACACAAATGGATCTCGCCACCAACAAGGAAGTTTCCAAACACGGTGTGCGAGTGGTCTTTACGGGTCGAGGCATTGAAGCGGATTCGTACATTGAAAGTCGTTGTGCCAAAGCCAAGGAGGTTACCGATGGACACATTTCGGGATCCTTTATTGTGGCCACGGACGATGCCATGATCCGACTGGCCGGACAAAATGCCGGGGCCATGTGCATGGGAGCCGGTCGCTTTGTGGACGAACTCAAAGCCTTACGAAAAGCAATCAACTACCGTGTCGAAGCGGCCGTCGCCAAGGTCAATGGACAGACCATGCGTCCCGAGTCTCTCCAGGGTACCTACTTTCATAACTTTGGACGAGGGTCAGTACTCGTGGAAGACAAACGACAACAAAAACTAGAACGAAAGCTACGTAAACAGCAGGAACAACAACAACAACAAGAGGAAGTAGACACTGTGGAAACTGAAGTTGAATTGGATGAGAATGGGATTGAGCGCAAGTTCCAAACCAATTTTGCTCAGGTTCCAAACCAAACCAAAACCTGGACATGAGCTGAAGCATCGCTGCAGTATCTATCTTCAGTAGAAGAAGTGGTGGAGGGATTCCCCGACACTAAAAGGACTTCTTGCCGTTACACCCATTTGAGAACATCCTCAAAGCATGTATCAACGGACGCAGCACCGGACCAAATGCGGCGGGGACGGGTTCTGAAACCACAATCGCCTCCTTCAAACTCACGATGAATCAAGAGCATGCAAGTCATTGCTTGAAGCATTTGGGCTTCCCAATGCTTCGGCCAAAGCAGGCTCAGACGACTCGCTCTGTTGTTAACAAGGCAAGACCCAAGCCGAACGGTTCAGTTTCATCAGCGGCTCTGACGCATTGCCATCCACAGCTCTTGTCATCCCTAGCTATAGCATTACTAAAATACTACTAGCTAGTACCTACTGTTGGTTGTAAAGTAGTTGTGATTGATCGTCGGAATATCGGGTCGATCAATTCCCGATTCAATCCCCGATGCCCTTCTGGTGCGTCCCGCAACTTTTTGAAAGAGTGGTCCCGAATTGCATTCATCGCATTGCAAGCAGGCATTGAGTCGATATTGGCTTCCACTTTTGTACTGAAAATCGTCACAAGCCGGTTGCTGATTGATAGTGTTTTGGCATGCTCCACCCTCTTCTGTGTTGGGTTGGCAGGGATTGGCAATACCAGAGGGACAATTGTTGGGACTGAAGAGTAGCAGGAAACAGAGTGCCAAACACTGGCTGCGGGTATGCTGTGTGTTGTGAAACCAAATGGCCGCACAGGGATCGCTGAATCCAACGTCTTTGGTGAGACAATCCAGAGCAATGTCGCCGGAAATAAAAGAGGTGAAACCACATATTCGGACTGGGTTGGTCAAGTCGGGAGTCTCCAAATAGACGGCCAGATCTGCCAGGTTGCTGCAGACCCCACAAGGTGATTCATGTGACAAAAAGACGCCATAGTTGCGTTCCCCGTCATTGGTGGGTGGTTCCGTCGCAGTGATCATGTCATAGGTGGTCTTGGCTTCATCTCGAAAGACCACGTAACAATCGGCATTCGGTTGAATAGTGACATCGTAAGGATCTGAAGGATAGGGAGATGTTTCTGTGTCAATAAAGTCCACCAACAGAGACACTTGATGTTGATTGAGCCAACGGGCACTCTTCATGCGACGCAAATCTTCTCGCGTCACTCCATTCGACAAAGACACTGTTGTTTCATTGCCCGTCAAGCTTCTTCTGCGTTGTGCCAGCACTGCGTCTGGAAGTATGAAGGCCAATAGACCGACGACAATCGTGAGCTTTGCAATTGCCGCCCATCTTCTAGAAACAGAACTACGTCGCAACATTTGCATTTGCTTCCTCCTGGAGGAGACTAAAGTTGTAATGGTCGATGCATCAGGAGTTACCCGGATTAAACTGGTGTCCGTTGGGATGTTGGGATGGATGGAAGGAATGACTTCCCAACCCTGCTGGAGATGATGATGACGAGAGGAGCTTCGAGAGGTCAAAGAGGGGAAAGCAAAACGAAAAGTGAGAAGAACGAACAGTGAAAAGTGAGGAGCTGGTACAGTAGGCTGTACGACTGTACGGCACCGGTCATAATTGTGTGCACGAACCGGTACCGGTACGGTGTACCGGTATCACCTGAGCCCTAACGAGTCGAGTCGAGTCAAGTCACGGGCTAGCTACCGTACCGTAGCTAGCAGATGTATGAACTGGACGAAGTTAGTTGTTGACGATACCTCCTTCTACTTACTCTGTTACCAAATCAATGGAATGAAGAGCAAGATCCCCACCATCAGCACCATCAAAGAGTCCATCAGTAGTGGCAGGGCACGCCATCACCACCGAGTGGAGCATAGCAGTGCCATTGATGAACCGTTGCCCGTGGCGTCCGTTCTGGATGGAACTTGGAGATCTCGACGCAAGCTGCATCGCACTCCACGGCGACTGGCGACGCTGCGACCAGAACTACCGACGGATACCTCCGAGGTGGATGCGTCTGGCACCACCATGTGTATTGCAGGGGATGAGTACATTGTGGTGGCCAATACGGTATCCACTCCCGTGCTCATTTATCGATTGACACATTCGGCTGCTGCTGCCACGGTAGTGACTCCCTGGAATTCTGTTTCGTTGATTGGAGGGGATGATGACAACGCCACACCGTCGTCTTCGGCGATTGTCAGTCTGATGGCTCTGCCCTTTGGAAAGAGTTTGATTTATGGAGAACCTTGTCGCAAAGACGAGGGACACATTGTCGCATTCTCAGATGATGGACAGGGATTCATTCTACGGATACGAAGAGACGATGGTGGTGAGTTTGTTTGTGAGCCGTCATTGGACTAGCTTGTATCTGTCTTTATTGATACCCCTTGGTTTGAACATGCTTTCCCCAATTCTCTGTCATTTTCACTAAACTCCTTCCAAACATTCCCTCTCAACATTCTCTCTCGAACTCCCTCTACAGCCACCAAAATTTGTTCCTTTCCTACACAAAACTTTGGGGTGACATGCGCCGCTGTGGTGCCAGTCGCGGCGACAGGAGGCGACCATCATCTCTTGGTGGGATATCAAACGGGATATATTGAGAGTTGGAAAATCTTTCGTTTCAGCCCCAAAAAGATACTGGCCAAACTTCTCTGGAGAGGAATCTATCCTCATTCGTACAGTATTCAAAACATGGCACCCTTAACGGTGGAATCACACAACAACAACACTCAAAGTCATCGCTATCTCTTGGTGACAGTGCAGTCACCCTCCGTGATACTCAAAACAAGTGCTATGGTCGAAGTCATGGACATTCAATCCTTGCCAGAGGACTGGAAACAGCGACGGGGAGAACAGCAAGGGCATTATTTGAGAGCCGTCAAACTGGATAGTCGCTGTTGGGTCATGCCGGGAGCCCGAATGGAATTGTTGAATACATCCACCCTCGGTAGTCACCACACAGCAGCAGAAGACGATGAAAATCTCCCGAGACGAGCCCATGTGATCCCCAGCGCTTCCACTGGATCCATATGTACGTTGCTTTTGCTATGGTACCAATGATGTGAAAGCGCAGCTTTCTTTACTCATGTTTAGATACCTATCGTTTGTGTTTCAGGTGATCTACCGCAAGCCAGCTGTGTGGCACTCGCGGATGGAACCATTGCCATGCTCACTGCCACGGAAGATACCAAGGAGGACGAACTTCGATGGGGTGTTGCTAATGATTACAATCAGCTACTGCTTCCTTATCCTGCCATTGGTTGCGCTGCTGTGAATTGGGATGCCTCGCAGCATCCGCCAAACTATTCCCCTCATGTGGCTTGCTGCCTTCGTGGTGGTTCAACCTATCTCATGCCCTTTGTGAATCCAGAGGATGCCAACAGTGAAATCCCTGTTACAGTATTCTTGCTCGATGTGGAAACGCATTCCCGCTACATTCATGGCTTTACGGCAGGCAATTTGATTCTATCCCCGCCTCCAACAATCGCCAGTGAAGACCAAGAACATAACAATTCTCTAACAAGTAAAGACGGGTTTTCCGTCACGACTCCAGTGCTTGTCTATGGTTGGGCGGGAGGTATCGTTGACGTCTTTAGCTGCGAACTGAACGCTGGCGCTGTACCCGGTCGTCGACCCATGATTACGCATCGAGAAGAATCCGCACTGGAAGACCTCATATCGAATGGATCCTACAATCTGCTGGCAGACCTCATGATGCTACTCCTTCAGGACGAGAACAGCACGGACAGCAACTTGCTGCAGCAGCCAATATGGAAAAATGCCTCGTTGGAGTTTCAAAAACACAAGGGCGAGGCGACAGTTGCGGACCTTTTGACGCCCGAGTATGCAGCTACTCGACAATTGCTACTACACTTGTCTACCAATCTGCAAGAGGCTTCGAGCTAGATAAATTCATCGGGGAGCTATTCGACCGGCAAGAGGAGATCTTGAGACACCGACAGGCACTGTGCGTTTCTGCGGCACCAAGAATACCTATCCATCTCAAGATGCGTAATGTCACCTGTAATGTTACCTGGTACCGTCGTTTCGAGGTGATTTCCCAAATACTAATTCATACACAATCCCAGACTCGCCGCAAACGGTAAAGTGCAAAAGACATTGGCAAGCAACTCCAATATTAGGTAGCAAGTTAATTGATTTCCTCTATCAGCTTTTTTCGCGCAACACCCTGGCAAGAACCACCATGACCATCTTCTTCCCCATTTATTGATAGCTTTGTCATGTTAACGATCAATGACGCAGGATTCTCCAATGCCAGGTTGTCATCCAGAAGATCCTTGGAGTGGCTTTTCGCACTCGCTTGTCGGGTCGTCTCCAATTGACCAGATATTTCTCTGTCGTCCTCATCATCGCTGTTGTCGTCGTCACTGTCACTTGTGGTCTCCTCTTCATCGTCGGAACTATCTGTTTCACTACTGCCAGTCGCGGTCATTTCATCATCGCTATCCCCAAAGACTTCTCTCTCGATGGAGACAAGGTCCATGCCGATCCTCTCTTTCAGATCGTTTGGTTTTTGGAGCACCGCGTCGATATCTGTGGCAAGGGTCAGCAGATTGTCATCGTTGTGTCGCCGGGGGTCTTGCAACCAAGCCAAATAGGGGTCGATGTAGAGTTTGTTGCCGAGATAGTACAATTCGCTTTGATCCAGTATTTTCCGTACTTGTAGCAAGCAGCGAATGATGCATCTACGACTTGTCACAATTTGCGACACTTGCGTCCAGCAATAGACGCCAAATTCGACATTTCGCAGGTAGGGGTAAATCAAGGACCTTCGAATAGACTGTGCCACAACATCCGCCACGCATTCCCCCTGGTCGAAGGACTCGAGCCAGCTCAAACTGCAACTTAGAATGGAAATGTTCCAGGCTGATTCGACGGTTGGATCCCCGTCTGTGAGTAAATGATCGTAGCAATAGGCAAACAGCAGATCCAGGATTCCTAACCACAGAGGAGTGGCGTTGTCTCCTTCCCGCCATGGCGGCAGCAGCGGGTAAGGTATGGAAGATAGCTGTGCTGATTCTTGCGACGTAAAATAATTGTTGGATGGCTGTGTCTCGTCGTCGGTTGTTGTATCCCTCCAATGCGGTCTCATTTGCATGGCGGTCTGGTAGAGATAATCATCTTGAATGTCAAAATCTTGAAGATACCTCTCTGCGGAGAATTTGGAAACCTCAGTTTGGAGACGTTTTTGTCTGTGAGAAATCTCTTTGTCGGAATTCTTGTTAATATCCAAGAATTTCAGGCCTCCATCGCTGGTATCCAAGGGAATTTCCAGCATTTCTCGTGCCAGTCCATCTCTTGCCAAATCAGTGAATATTCCTCGAAACATTGTGGCAAATCCATATCCCGTCTCCAAACCAATTTCTCGGGCCTTCTCCTCAGCGTTACCTTCCGTGGACTCTTCTTGGTTTGACGTTGCTTCCAGAACCTCTTTGATCCAAGTCGATTTTTGTGGAGAATGATTCTGATTTTGTCCATCGATGAAACTTTGGAGATTGGTTCGAGGTTTCATGAGTGCCCCCACCATGTCCAAATCTTCCCAATAAATACCCGCTTCCAACTTGGCCAATTTCAAGACAATTCGTCCGTACGATCGAAGAGGATCGTACTGAGCACATGCGTCTTCGGCATTTTCTTGAAAGGCGTGCTGAAAGGTCAATAGTAGCAGGTAGGGAGGAGACGCGAAATGGAGACACTTGTTCTCGTCTGACAGCACCACTTGCAAGGACTCGTGAGAAACTCGCACATGAGGAACGAGGATATCAATCATAACATGGTCGTCTGTTTGGGATATCTCAAAATGTGGTGTTATCGGCATTGTCTATTTTAAAAGCTTGCTGCTGCAACAAAAAAGAAGAAGTAAAGAAGACCCAGACAGCGTCTATTGCAGCAAGGTTTTGTGAATGGCATGGAATTTGGTGGTGGCTGTGCGCTTCGCTCGTCTCATTCGTGCATACAATATCTTTGTGTTCCAGTGTTCCAGTACCGGTACTGGTACCGTGGACCACGCACTCCTTTGCTCTCCACGTTCCACGACGATCTTTGGAATCTTGTGTTCTTTGGAACCCAAATTCAAAGCACTTTCCCAGCGCACTTGTTTTGAAGGACACAAATGACACAATCCGGCAGCGCATTGCATTGCACAGAGTTAGTCGCATCTCGATCCACAGATGCACTCTTAGTTGAGATGGAATCCAAAGCCCAGCGAAAGGACGCAATCAACTATCTCCTCATAGATGCAAGCAACTAACCACAAATAAGTGACAAGAATCGAGTCGGATCGAAGCAAGCGACCGAGAAGCAAGAGAACAAGAAGAGCAAAATAAACCAAAGAATCAAGTATGAAGCTTTCAGGCGTCATTGTTGGTGCTTTCTGTTGGGTGATAGGCGCTGCGGTAAGTTGTTGAGCTGATCCATCATGACATTCAAGTTGCAGCTTTGCTCACTGAACCGTCATGTCTTGTCTTGTCTTGTCTTGCTGCTGCTGCTTCTTCAGGCGTCCCAGGAAGGCCCCATTGAAGATACTGTGAACTCTTCCATCTCCACCGAAAGCGGCAATCCAGCTGTCCAGGGCAAGATTTCAAAGAACCTGAAATTTGCCTCAAAAGGAGTGGCATCTCCCCGCGCCTCGCTTCGTGCGAGCCTTTCCAGTCTCCAAAATGTTGCCGAGGTCATTCGGACTAAAGATTTGGGTGCCCGCATTGAGCTAGTGGAGGATACTCTGGCTGGCTTGGTGGCGATGCGTGACAGAATCCATTCCATGAAGCCCACCGGTGAGCCTTGGTTGGATGAGACATTGGAGGAAACGAAATCTCAGGTGGATCAATTCCTCGAGATTGCTCCCGAAGTTGTTGGCTACATGCAAGAGTCTCTGGAGGAACAACGCCAGCACAGAGAGAAGCTGGCATCTCCCCATGAAAAGCAGCGCTCCTTGGGAGAAGATCAGGCCAAGTCGAAAGCTCCTTCTGTCCATGACGCTGCTGATCCCAAGATTAAGCACCGGACCAAGCTAGAGCCACCCAGCTGCAAGAGCAACCATGGCCAGTATGCTCGATCCCATCACCACGTCGCCAAACATTTTGAGGGTGACACAAAGGCAAGCCACCGCCACCGCAAGCTGGTGGATATGCAGAATGCCATTCTTGGTGGGGACCATGCACATCTCAGCAAAATGGTTGGGTCCATGCGTGGCAAGATGAATCGTGGCCAAGGTTCGCGCCGCTTGTCTGATAGTGATGCCAAGGCCAAGCAATGCCACCTCCTCACCAAATGTGCCAAGGATTTCAGCTATTACGACACAATTGTCTTCTTCTACAGGTGAGCAAGACTCCAATACTTCTGGTATGCTTGAATTCTGTTCATGCATCTGTACTCACTCTACTGTGTCTCGTTTCTTCAGCGACGATATCGACCCAGCTACAGGTTCGTGGCCATGGTGAGACAATTGCTGTGTTTGACTGACTGACAGACTCTGACACTCTCTTTTGTCTACGACAGGAGAAATTGACGACTCCATTTTCCACTTTGATGAGAAACACCTTGCTGAGAAGCACTCGGACATTCATACAGTTGCAAGCAGGTTGTGGGGAAAAAATGGAGACAACCCGGCACTATACAAGGATGATCCCTACACTGTGTATTCATGCGCTGTCCTTATGCAGCACTTTCATCGGAACGTTGAGTGGGAGGGCGTTCCACATTGGGAGGGTGGTGAGCATGGAAAATCACTTGCTTGTGGCCTATTATTGGATTGCTTCAAATCTCATACAGCACTGCACATTGACTGCAACCATAGGCACGGTTTCACAGGTTTGCTTGGCCCAGGGCTCCCAGGTCTTCATTCGCTTCGATGAGATGGCCAAGAAGCTTGGATCCTACTATGCTACACATGCGATAGATGAAATGTTCAAATGTGCTGATTGCGACGGGATACAGCTTACAATTCAGCTTTACAGCTTTACAATTAGCAGGCTTATTCTAGAAAATAATCAATAACTGCTCACTTATTTGGAATACAACTTTACATCTCTTAGATCGTTAGATATCAGTACACAATGGTATTGTCGCATGGTAGCATGCGAGGTTATGAGATGTTACTCATTCTTATTCTTATATGTCTATCCCTTATGGTTGTCAATGGAATGAGCTATCCCTTGATGCAGAGTCCTGAGTTTCCTCTCATTATCTTCATCGGTAGTCCTTCCCCTTATTGCAACTTAATTCCCTTGGATTCGCTCGCAAGCAATCCCCTTGCTACATTGTTGTTGTTGATTCGCTCGTAAGCAATCGCAACCATGGACTCCTACAGGAGTCCACCTTTCATCCTGTCGTTGATCGAAATCGCGATAGGGACCCTGGACTCCTATGGGAGTCCACCTTTTACTATCAGCCAAGCGCTAAAGAAGCCGCTACTAAGACTGCTAATTCTACTGCTACTACTGTTATCTCTATCACCGGTAAAGTCAGGCCATCGTCAGCGCCTCCCATGCTCAGCTTCAGCATGGATGGATCGATCGGCCGAGTAACAGAGGTCGCGATCGAGAAGTTAACAGAATCTGTCGAAAAATGAGCTCCGTCTGCAATAATAAGGCTCGGCTTGTCTGTGGTCATGCTTGAGTCATGCTTTATTACCCGATATTATCGGTTTGAACTGCCTGAGTCATGCATGGCTTATGTCTTCGAAGAAAACTCCTCACTTTTTCATTAACTCGACGGAGACGCACACTCGAGATCCTACGAGAACAACAACACGAGCGATCGATCGCTCCGCGTGTTGTTGTTGTCTGGTGTTGGTCTCTGTTTACCAGGACGGCATTGGTCGTTTGACTGCTTGCAGTTGTTGTTGTTGTTGTTCAAGCGAAAGATCAACGACAGAGAACTCGCTTGCAGTTGTCGACACGAAAGATAACACTCAACATGATCGCCGAGCTGTAATTCAAACGACACGACAATCAATTCGCCGAACTGTTGGAAAGCTCATAATTCCATCTTCGATTGACTCGATTGACTGGATATCCACACGCGACATGCACTCTTGTTGCGCGGGCTCACCGCTCCTCATCTTGTTGCCGCAGCACTGTTTCTTGTTTTTTCACTGCCTCCATATTCCATCATCTATTATTTATGACCTTGACGCGCTTCCTCTGTCCTCAGCTTCTCATCTTCAACAGCAGCGCCGCATCAGCATCCTTGTTCAGTCCACAAGGCTTCAGACAAGCCTTCTTTGAATCTGATCCAATCATCCCACCATCTGATCCTCCAACCATGACTGCAGCACCATTGACCGCAGTTCATTCCAGGAGCTCCTCCAGCACATTGGGAAAACCAAAGAAAAGACAAGCTTACAGAAGCCCTCGCTTGGAGGTATCAACCACACTGAGCCTGGACAGGATCTGGCTCAGATGGACTGGGAAAGGAACTCAAAGCACCCTATGCCTCAGGGGTTTCCATGGTGACGACCATCTGAAACACAACACCACACTCCAGCCTATCGAATTGCATGCAAGAAAGGACTGAAGGATTCCACCAGTCTACTATTTCCACTCTGACTGAGTCCAATGCTTCTGGGTCTCATGGTCTAGCCTCTCTTATCGCCTTTGAAAGTATGATGACAGAGCATGGAATGGAAGGGTCTTCCAGCTTGTTGTTGGAGACCTTAATACTAACACTATAATAAATCAACATGTTCACTGCTCCTGGACAGGTTTCAGAGTCTATGATGGAAAAATGGCATCAGGATCTCACAGTCAATGGGGTCAGACTCATCGATGCAATGGGGATCTGCAGCAACTTCCTGTTTGCCAGTATGATCTAACCAACCTTGCCTGGTCGGGAAAGGCTGTCTTGAACTCTTGCACTGATGCACTCCAGAAGAATTGAAATCATATGTTCCTAGACCAAACACAATGGGCCCCAACTTCTCTTGGCTCTTCGCAGAAAATATACAGACCTTCCTCTCAGTAAGATTGAAACCCTCAAAGCCAAACTACTTCACTTGGACATCACCAAAGTTCCCTGGGGAGAATGTTTCCATGTATGTTTGTCGATGCAAGCAAGATCATCAAGAGATTCGATTAAACTTTATGTAAAGTGATCCCATGCCTGAATAACCAGCAATCTTTGAGGGGTTCTCCTTGGCTGTGGTTGTCCTACTTTCGTATCCAAAGTCATGAGCTTGTTGTCAAGAGTGACATCAACGGATTTGATAGCAACTATGGGAACAAACAATTGGAAGCATCGCACACTTTGAATGACTTGGATGCCCTCTATCGGGTCCTATCACCAGAAAACTTATGAGCGCCCAACATCTTGGATCCAAGGGATCCCAGGCCAAAGCCTTCCAGGCACAATTGACAAAGCAGTTGAGGCAAAAGTTGGGAGTCTCACCAGGATCGTAACAGTGGATCAGCCAGTGGCGGTACCCGTCCTTCGTGGAGGCGCCTGCTTTGATTGTGGAGCTACTGATCATCTATAGAAACGATCCAGCATGTCCCAAGCGAGGTGCTCCCAAGGACAACGGTTTGAGTGTGAAACCAATCCAAAACTCACAACTCTTATTAAAGACAAGCTTGCTTCCAGCCTCCAAGGGAGAACATTCCCGATGAATGCCCAACCACGACCTATGTTCTGTTGAATGGGAAATGTAGGTTGCTAAATATGTCGCGACTGTGGAAGGTTTCTCCAAAGGCACAGTGCTCATTTCACCAGTGAACATCGTGGGTTCCGGAAGTCTCCTTACAAAGCACCCTCTTCTGGTGGGCAATGCACTCACCGACCAGCGCTACCAGCTTCGGCTTCAATCACTGCTGGTGGCAAACTTGCTTCTTCAACCATAGAGATTACCTATGTCGCTGCGATGATGTCCCTGTTCTAACCCACTGATGGTTTATATCACGCAGTCCCAATGTTGTGGTATGATTTTCGATTCATGCAGGTCAACATTGCAGCAGTAGATCTCAGTTTTGATGAGATCTCCGCTCTCTTCAGCTACCTCAATGGGGGTTTCATGTGATGCTTCGGCAGAATAACACACTTGTCAATAGTGTTTCTCATTGCCTATCTTTTGCCCCATTTGTGCCTTTATATCTCGGGTCTATTCCTTCTCAAGTATTGGAGGGAGAAGATGATCCTGCTATGCAGACAATTTATCAATACACTTCGGATTCCAGCCCTGATTCTTGTAGGGAGCAAACTTTCTTCATTCTCACCGCTCAAATGGCTGATGTTGCCTCTGCTCCCATATCTTCCCCCATCATATCCTCATTGGACTATCTCTCCGGGCGGATGTGTGTGTTTCTTTTCTTTGGTTTTACAACTTGCTTCTAAAGTTCATAGGTTATACCATTCTTCAGTGGCTCTCTTGCATCAACAAACTTGTTCTTCCACGCTTCAAATCGGCCAAAACATTTTGATCCCGTTCCATACCCAGACTCATACTTGTACATTCCCAAAATGATTTTTCGGACCTGTGTACACCGATTGTCTCTTCGTAAAGCATAAATTAACTCCTAAGGACACCTATGTCGTCCCTTCTCAACCCTCAACTCAAACCAGGCTTCCTCGCAAATGTCCGGCCAACAGAACCCTGTCAAGATCCAAGCTGATGGGCCTCCTTTGAGTCTTGGGAACTCAGTCGCTGGGGCACAATCTTTCCAGCTCTCCAGTGATTTTGCCTTTAGAAAACAGCTTCGAAGCTATCGATCAATGCAGTGAGAACTGAAGACACACATTCTCACGGCACCACACATGTTGGCTCTCCAACAACGCAATCAATCTGTCCATGAATCTTTTGCACAAGTCACTTCTTATTGCCCATGTCTTCAGTGCTATTGTTGATAGTTGATGTTCCTATTTTTGCACCAATACTTTCAGTGATGTTGACCCAAAATTCTATCAGAAAGCTTTCCGAACCAATTATTCTAGGAGGTATAGCTGGAGTTCTGAGCATTGAGTACATTGGCACTAATGATTGGGAGACTTTGGATGAGCAAGCAAATGTTGGTTCATTTCGGGAGCAGGTACTTATTCATCCTGATCTTCCAAACAGACTCCTAGCCCTCAAGCTTTCTTGGCCCACCAAGGACTTGACCCAAAAACAGTCAAACTCAGCGATCACTTAAGAGACTACCACGACCATGCTGAAAGGCATACGGGAGTAAAGAAAATGATACAAATGAAGTTTGACTCCAGTTTTCTACCACGACTTACTCTGTTTCCAAAGGGAAAGGCACTCTCTTCTCTACACACAATGACTTGTTCTACATACCAACAAACGAAACCTTTCTATTTTTGACAAAATCTGGCTCCAATGGCATTACAAGTTGGGATCAAATCTGTCATTCTCCCATGTCAAATCTCTTGGGTTGGGTGTTTCTTAGACAAGAAGGGTCTCGGCTTGCTTAGAAAGCAAGGTCGGGGAGCATCCTAAATGTGCCGCTTGTCAATATGGAAAACAAGTCAGGCAACATGATCACACCACTGTCACCAAGAAGCTCCCAGACAAACAGGGAGCGCTCAAGAAAGAACAATTGGAGCCGGGTATGACAACCTTTAGTGATCAATTAGAGTCAAGAGTCAGAGGGAGATTGTTACATACTGCCGGAAGAGAACAAGATAGCAATAAATTCTGTGGAACCTCAATATTTTGTGATGCTGCATCGGCTGTCATCTTTGCCCACCACCAAGTTACATTAAATGCTTCTGATTCTATCATGGCAGGAACATCACAGCGATGTGTCCGAACATGGGGTGTGGTTCAATCATATCACACTGACAATGGCATCTACAAAAGCAACGCATATTGTCCAAACTCTTAGGGACCACCATCAATCAATAAAATATTCTGCGACCGGTG